CCAAAGAAAAGTTTCACATATTAAACTCTATTACAATTAGATTATGTTTGTTGTCTTCGGCAATACTTATATTATTAATCACGTTTTTGCATAAAAATTTCTCTCTTTATAGAAAATACAAAAAATCTTGTTCCTTTTTTGAAAACAATGTTTTCCTCATTATACGTTTTTATACATGTATACATATTTATTCATACATATATAATTCTCATTGAAAATACACGTAACACGTATACAAAATAAAATTTATAACAAAATTTATAATAAAATAACTTAAAATATATTTCGTGTATATTTAACTCTCCGTCTGCACCGCTTAAATAATAATATAAGTAAAATATAATATATTTTATATTTTTGTAATACAAAATATGAAATATTTGTAAATATTTTATAAATATTGTGTGCTGTCTGGAAAAAGTCTAAATAATATATATAATCTTTTAAAGGAATTTAATATCTATTGTAAGTATTAAATGTTGTTAGTGATTAATCATTTATTCTAAGTATTTAAAATATAAAACATTGTTGTTAGTGTTTTTAATATTTAAAGTAACTCAGATAGCCAAGCTCCTTATTATAAGAAAGAAAATATTTGCTTGACACATGTTTCTTTTCAATTGCCATAAAAATTGCCACAATATATTTGGAAGAGGGAACTATTGGCTGAGTGTTGCCATCAAGTTGTTGTTTCTAATCATCATTGATGACATTAAAAACCGGCAATTCAATAGGCAAAATCGATTGAAAACTGCTTTTCTCAATATTACGAACAATTTAAACAACTTGCTATTTGAGAAGTAATAAACTACTAACCAATACTTAATACTTAGTGTTTTTCCTGTAAGGAGTTATTACATTAAGATTAACTATATTGTTATCAAAAAACAATTTTATATTAAAGAATTTATATACCACGAACTCAGATTCGTATTGTCAGTTCTTCTCTTAATATTTTTCTTGTTTAAAAGAAAATGAATATTTTAGATATTTTTGCACATTGCGACACTTATGGAAATTTATTTCTCCTTGACATGTCTAGTACTTTTTTCCGCTATCGGTCTAACGACCGATAATGCATATCGGACGATCATTATGTAATCTCTTTTGTTTAACGAGGCTCAATCATGGAAACTAAAGAAATACGGAAACATAGAAAGAGTGACTAAAAAAATGACTCACGCCCTTTTTTGAAATAAACGATTCCGTAATGTTCCACCGGATGATTTCATCATGGGCCCTTTAAGATCCCGTCGTGCACACCAATTAATCTACTTGACCTGGCAATCGTCGCGGATGACTGACACGATTATACATCCACCCACAAGTCGGGCATATAATCACGTTAATTATGGAAGTCATGCTTAATTTGACTAAATCATAAACTTAGCATATAGTAGGATAAATAATTCTTTAAATAAGTATAAACGACTTAATGAGAAAGAAAAAAATGCTTAAAATCAACTATTACCCAAAATTTGAAATTTTTTTCGTGTTTGAGTCTCTGAAATTATGTTCTAAATATAATTTAAAAAATGATAATCCATTTTTTATTAATATTTTGAACAAAAGTTTGCAATTATACTTGTCGAATAAAAAAATATGCTGAATTACGTAAACAACAAACAAAAAAATCCAACAGTTTATAATAGAAACGTACACAAATAATGTAATCAAATATTGTGTTTTTTTTAAACCAATTTTCTAAATTTATTTTTGTGAGAGGTACTATGTGCCACTTTTATAAATAATTTTAAGTAATAAATATTTCGTAAAGAATCGATTGTACAACACTTTGATGAATGTAATTGTCAAGTTTTAAATTTAAATGTTGATTATTAACCAATTATTGTAAAAAGTATAAATGGAATTCATAATACCCTACATTTTCTCCTTAAAACAAAATAAAATATGATCAAAGTTTGGGCTTCCTAAAGTTTAAATCTTAAGCCGTAAAAAATTGATCAATCATAGTCGACTATTCGACTGTGATTGGTCAACTTTTACGGCTTAAAGCTTCGGTAATGGCTTATTGTAGAAAGTCCATAAGACATAAGCATGTCTATAGATTTCTTTCTTCTTTTCGTGTTTGTATTTTACACCATTGCAATTCGTATATCTAAAAAGAACAAGTTAATATGATAAAAAAAGACATCGTACTGTCGGCAGATAAATTATTATCTAAGCATGAATATAATCGTCGAAATTAAAGTAACTGCAATCACGTCCTCTTCGTAAATGTTTCACTGAGGACGAGTTGACATAGATATACCTATGTAGTAATCACGCAATATATAAAAAATAAGAAATTGCGGTATGTACAACGTCTGGATCGATTCCACGACGATTTCTGGATTTGATTAAAGCGAGTAACCTACAAAAATTACAAGTTGAACACTTGTGTCTCTTCATAATAATTTTTTTCTTTTACAGACGACAAAAAATTGATAGTCGGAAGAAAAAACAATTTGTAAAAATGTGCAAGATAATTTAAATTCCGAACGCAAATGATGTTTCCGAACACAGCCTGAGGGAATACAACTTCATGCACGAAACCAGATCCACTTCCCCTCTTCCTGTCTAGGGATGCGCACAATTTTTCACGCAAAGCAAAGTTTAGATTACTCGCCTATTTAGAAGGTCATGAGCACTTGAGCAGTAAAGCCTCTAAGCAAGGTGGGGAGGTGAGGTGAGCCTCGCTTTGCGCAAAAAGTCGTGCGCTTCTAAGTGGGCAGGAGAGAGGTGAAGTAGACCTCGCTTCGCGTGGAAAGTCGTGCGCTCCTAAGTGGGCAGGGAAGAGGTGGGCCTCGCTTCGTGTGGAAAGTCGTGTGTACTTAGGCAAGAGAAGGATTTGGAATGGATTTCGTTTCGCATGAAGTTATGAAGTCACAAAATTTCTGCTTTAAGGGAATCCTAAAAATGATTTATAATCATATTGTAAATAGTGTTTACACATAGGCGATTTATGTCGTGATACATCACTACATCAGTAGCTCACGCACATATATACATGTAAATTTTTGTATAACAATAAGATTAATTAGACAACATATGTCAAGGTCAAGGTTATTGAAGGAAGAGCTTCTCTGACATAAACCCAAAATTGAGTGTCAGTAAATCTGTGAGTGTCTGAAAATTTGTAGTACACGTAACTATAAATTTTCAGCGCTGACACAATAAATTTGGAACCCAGCCTAAATTATTATTTATTTACTTTAACTTAAAAATTGTTTAATTATTTATTGGTAAAATATATGAAGTAGAAGATCCCGCTCTGATGTTGATCTCGACACGTATTATTAAGATCATAATCCTCCGAATAAGTTTTACTTGTTCTCCGACAAGTTTTACTTGTCATTCGTTCGATCGATCGTTGTCCGTTAAAAAGTTATTAACAAAATAATTGATAAAAATACTGATTAAGGAGGTCTGATTCGATATATATTTTACCTTTGTTTATTATTATATTACTATGCTAAATATTAATTCAAATTAATTGTAAAGCTCGATGTTAGTAAATAATCGCGTATTCAAAATCACAACAACAATATTTCTTAATCTAACTGTGCATTTCAATCGTATTTCATACAATCGAAATTCTACTTATTGCGCTCCCAGTTAAGAGTTTATTAATTATAATCCAACAGAATGTCTGGTAATTCGGATTGTTTACTAATCTATAACGAGTTAAAAATAACCGTTCCGCCACAATTACGTAAGACGATAATAAGCGCGCATTCGCGTGTAATACGATAGCGAACCTTTTCGATACGCACGCCAGGCAGGCAACCCGCGGAATTACGACGTGTGTCCTTGTACCGCTGCAACGTCAAAATAACGTCATGAAATAGGATCGAATGCGTTTCCAGCGAAGCAAATCATTCTCGCGGAAATTCATTGTGAATTTTATAACTCCATGAATTTGCGTCGCATACAGTAGCTTTTCGATACTAGCGTATGATCAGTTGTGTGGAGTAAAAAATATTCAGCAAACTAAACTATTAAAAATTGCAAATATTAACATGAAGAACTCTTAACCGGGGTTTAACTTATTCCTCATCTCTTTCCAAGTCCAAAAGAATTAACCGTGAGTTGTACATCAACTAGACTTAGAAATGTCTCTGATGGAAAAATTTCACTGAAATTATTCTACATTTTGGAACACTTTTCGGCAAAATTTATATTTGTTTTAAAAACATGCCTACTTCAAATTAAAACAATTTTTTATCCAAATTCTAAAGTTTCTAACGAGTTTCTATATTACTTTCTAATACAATATAGAAAAATCTGTAACTTTTTCATAATTTCTTCATCATTTTGTTAAAAAATACATGTAGTGCATCTATAAATTGGCTTGCTACAGGAAACTGGAACGAAGATGCTTCAATGCGTGTCTGATGTATGATCATTTATGATGTATGATCGCCATTACGCATGTTTAATCGGTGACGTAATAGGGCGTGCACGAGAAGAAAATACTTGGCGCGCGCGTCCGTGACACATTAGCAGTACAGAGCAAATATTTAGAATGTTTCGAAAGACAAAAGCGCGGCCGGAAATCTGGCGGTGGCCATACGCTACCATGCGTGAAAGAACCCGACCTCGTTGCATTTTTTTCGCTAAATAAAACATCTTAGAGAAGTGTGACATTCTTTTTTAAATTTATCTTAATTGTCATCTTATAAAGCTTATTGTTAGCATTAATATAACATTAAATTGAAAAAGGAGAAAGGACTTAACGCGATGGCAACGCATCAAATTTTTGAAAGTTGTTAATGACAATCTTCGACTGAAGGCGAGCGAAAGCTAAGTGGTTAACAGTGCCTAATATCGAATGGTATCGAAGCGTCATCATCGCGTCGCGTCGCGTCGTGTCGATTCCATCGGACGGCAGTATCAGCACCGCAGTCACCGCACAGAACTACACGCCCAAGGCGCGTGCGACCTGCTCGTAAGCGTACTCGTATGTAAGCGTACGTGGGACTCGTAAAGCGTACTCCGCCTGCGCGGAGGACTCGTAAAGTGTCGCGTGTACGCGTGTACGTTCTCTCTGAGTCTCTGCGCGTTTCAGGTTTTCCGTTTTAGTTCGAGTTGCACTGCTGCACGACGTGGTCGCAACCAGTCACAACTCGTAGCGCATTGTAACGCACGCGTCGCGACGCGCAACAACATATACGCGCGTTAAACTCGCTTTCAGCAATCGGCCGCGTTTGAGTCCTTTGAGAAGTGAAGAGTGCATCTCTCTCTCTCTCTCTCTCTCTCTCTCTCTCTCTCTCTCTCTCTTTCTCTCTCTCGAGACTTAATTGCAAATTGAGAAGAATTCTGTTTGAAAAGAAGAAGAGAAGAGAACGCAACTCTCTCGCGCAATCATTGACTTCACTTTACGAACTTTGTTGTGTTCTTCGAGAGCAGACACTCGGAGTCGCGGCAGTGTTCGAAGTGAAATCGAGTTTCCCTGGCGAAGCGATAGGAGTGACGGTACACGTGGTGGACGGAGCGCGTGTCAGGTGAATCAATGGACGGAGTTTATTCAGCGTATACCTTGAGGCCTATTTAGATACAACGAGTTTCAGCCGCGACGGAGTTCACAACTCGCGTGATGCAACTCCGTACTATTCATTCCCGTACAAAACAGCCGAGTAGAATCGATTTTCCCAAGTTACAGAACGCGTCGAAGGGCATAAATGTGCCGTATTAATAAAAATGCTGCATTTTTTTCTTTTATAACAAAAGTCATATGATTAATTTAAAAGAGATTCTTTCTTAATCTGGATTTAAATGAATCGAGATTAAAGAAGAGTTCTATTCCATATTTTTCATTTATTTACATTCAAGCTTAAAGCTATTAACTAGAAATATATAAATTAACTGTAAATAATTATAATTAAGCCTTATTCTCCATTATGCGGTCACTGGTGTCCGAGCAAAATTTCGCGCGTCGCATATACTTGTAAAGTGCCAAAATTACATAGTTTTACTAATTGTTATTGTCATTTCACTTTTTAATCGTATATTAGAAGATTGAAATAAAATTGCGGTTCAAAATCATCTCATTATACATTGTAATCCTTTAACAGAATCATAAAACGCAAATGCGCCTCTATGATGGCGGATGAGGAATAAAAAAATGACGCGGAAATATTAACTATGCTATAAATTTACATATATATATATA